AGGTGTCGTGCCGGACGTGCCAGGAGCAGCGGCTGCAGGGCGAGGTGGTAGCCTTCGACTACCAGTCCAAAATGCTGGCTCTAAGTATCCTTCTCTGCGTGGACCCCAAGGCTGGGTCAGCGTGTAGGTGCGGTGGTGGGGGGCGGGGGACGACGGCGGCAGCTAGGGCCCTCTCCCGGCCTAGGGGCGACCGGCTACCGCGTCGCCCTGGGCGCATGCGCACGGCCCTGAGTTCCCCTCCCCCTCCCGCGGGCCTTTCGGTCCACTTGGGGGACCCTTGTCTCCCACCCCTTGCGAGAGCCGGGCCCCAGCCGAGGGTTGGTGGGTGGAGCGGGGCTTGACACGCGGGTGGCTTTTCGGGAGGGAACAGTGTGTTAAGGGGACTCCGTGAATAAGGGATGGGTACGGGTGGGTAGGGGGCTGGGGATTGAAGCCCGGATGGAGTTGGGGAGTGGTAAAATGCTTTGGGGAGGGGTGTCTAGGGTCAGGAACTGTTAGTGGGGCAAGGGTATGGACTTCAGGAGTGGGCTGATGAGATTGGGTTCAAGAAAGGGCGGTGGGATGGTGACCAAATGGGGATAGGAAGTGCAGGATAGATTTTGTATTCGAATTGGTGGTTAATTTTGCTAGAGTCGTATATGCTTGGTATCCTTGTGTGTGGGGTGTGTGTGTGTGCTGATTTTGAGGTTCTCAGTCGTTTGAAAATTGCTGTTCAGGGGGTGTTGGAACTGGAAGCCTGGTCCAGAAAGGACTTGCCACGTTTTTCAGGGGTTTATGCATGACAGTGTGGGCTTCTGTTCAGTTCAATTCATGGAAGTCCTCAGTTTTCCACAGTAGCGTCCTTCTTTCTTAAAGTACCGGTGTTAAACTAATGGAAGAGGTGGCTTTGCTCGCTTGTGGTGGAAATGATTTCTGAGTTACTCCAGCAAACTCACTGTTGGAAAACAGAACATTTTCTGGTTGGAATAAATGTACCACTACTTCCCCCTTTATTTGAGCTACAGGTGGGCTTACCTGC